CCCTCACAAAACCATCAAACGAGCCCAACTAAAACACAAGATTCAGCACAATCCTATGGCGAGAAGGGCATATTTTCTGCCTCCCTTGAACCTAAGCCGATTATCAGAGTATCCCGACAAGGTCTTAGATCTCATTACCAGCAGATAGATGACTCTGCGCAGAAAAACAAACAGCGGTGATTTCAGATCAACCAGATTAGCACCGAGGTGCCATGGGAAGCTGCGGAGGAGTCTGGGAACGAGGACATCTCAACTTCTCAGCTAGTATCAGGTCTTAGGTTGGCGTTTTTTCGGTGCACATTTTAAAAAGCTGCTACACCTGCAACCTGTAGACACTGTTTACTGTCTGCATGGTGCGGATGAAGGTTATGTTCACTCACTTATGTAACCAGGAAGACCAAAGCTTTGACTGCATGTTTAACCCGGTTCAGGACTTTTGGGGTCTTTTGGACCCCAGGCCATTTGGTTTAGGTGACAGGTATTGTTTTTTACTTTTGAAGATTTTTTTTTAAATATGAAAAGAAGCATTTGGAACCAAAAATACATCAACTTATCAGAAAATGTATTTAACATAGTATAAAAGTCTGTAATGAATACCAACAAATGTTTTGCACATACGTATGGCAACATGAAAGTCCTGAATAGGGTTAAGTGTAAAATTCAAAAATAAAATGTAGCTGGTACCTTTCAGAATGACCTCTCAAGCGAGGCGGAAATTCAGAATTGTTTCGTCATTACTAAAAACTGATGCATTTCTTCTAACTTATTACAAGTTATTAAGCCTCAGAATATACTTAAATTTAGCATTAGGTGGTTAGAAAACTAACTTTGCATGTTAAACCAAACCTTATGGCTGCACAAGGGACTGTATTTTAGCATGAAAGATGTGTTTTTGTCACATTATGTAGGTTTCATATGCAGCAGTTGATTTCTGTCTCCCAACATCGAATGGAACACATCATCAGTCTGTTTTAGCTTCTTTCCAACCAAAATTAGAATATCACACATTTCTGATAAGCTCTGATCTATATCTCACACAAAGTCTGTAAACAGAAAGGTTTTGCACTCCCTCCCGTCTTGAACAGACTGAGACCAAACAGTGAGAGAAAGTTGAAACAATGTCAAGGTCCCATAAATACCACTGACACCACACTGCCACTGCGTCCTCCCGGCGTTTGGACATGCCGCTACACAGAGGAGCACAGTGCGCCGAGCAAACAGACACGGGACTAACACACGCACGCAAACTCTCGTACGCACTGTTTGAAGACGTTCCCATTGGCGGGCCGGTGAGAACGCAGCGAGAAGAGCTCTACGGGAATCTGGTTCAGTGGTTACAGTGCGAGGACAAGCGGGCGGTGTTTCACTCCAGTCAAAGATGGCTTTGTTCTGGACACGGTACGGAAACGAGCAGGTCTGCTGGTTCACGTCCACACGCTGACCTTTAATAGAAGCTCAGACGCTGTTTGATTGCAGCTCTGAGGGCTGATGTGTAATTTGTGGTTCTTTCCTGTGTGGACTCGAAAACACGACGGTTCCTGTGAGACAAACATGTTGACACAGTGGAGATGATAAAGCCACATGAGTGTTCAGGACCTCTTGGACATATGCTGAGGAAGAGTTTCCTCCATAAACACGTCATGGAGGAAGCAAAACAATCTCATCAAGCAGTAGTGTTGGTGTGTATCGACGTTGGTGTATCAGTGCGTAAGGTCAGTATCGCACTAGAGTCTCAAGATGTTGCCTGACAGGGAACAGACTAATTTCTTCAGCCTACCAGGAATTTTACCTCTATTAAACCTCTAAAAAGGTTAATCTAGAAAACCATCCTACTCAAAGCAGCTCAGGCACACCAGCTCACCATGTTGTGTTGGTTCCATGGTGTAACGGTCAGCACTCTGGACTCTGAATCCAGCGATCTGAGTTCAAATCTCGGTGGAACCTGAATTATCCTTAAAGGGATGAATAAAGTATCTGTCTAGTTCAGTCATACATGTTCAAACTGGAAACCTATTCTCTCTGAAAAAGAATAATGATACAGAAAGTCCCTCCTTGCAAATCAACTGGATTATTGTTTGGGTTTGTTACATATGGAAGTCTGAATCCATGTTTCTGAGATTACCATCGGTACGCTGCAGTTTCGAGTTAGAAATGCTCGGCCATGGCGTCGACTGCTTGTTTTGCTCATGATATGTCTTCCGGCATTTAAAAAACACCTTGTGGACGTGTTCTCAAGGTTCAAACTTGCTACCACGTAGCAGTGCACCATGTTCTAAGACTGAGCCTTCATGGAGCAGCCTGGGAGTGAGTCCAGGCCGTGCACTTTGCTGCTTGCCATATGCCCTCTCTTCCATCTCCTTTTTTTTAATCTGGTTGGCACGTTTGTTTTTACCTTCGGTACAGCCAGACTTGCTGTTTCTGCCTGTAAGCTATAACCAAGCCAAGTGTATTTCCCAGAACATCCTTCTTTTCCTTTAACTCACTGAATGCATTACTTTGAAAATGTTGTAATAAAACTGCTCAAAACCACATTAAAGCAGTATGTCTGAAGCATAAGATCCTTATGTGCACACAGCACACGAACGCACCGAACACGATCCAGGCTGGATAAAAGTGCAGCTCAGGTCATATGTGGGTCACATGGCGTGTGCGCGAGCTTTTGTTTTAACGGATACATGCATGAAAACAAGCACGCCGATGTGTTTGACAAAGTGTGTAAGTTTGACTGTCCGTGTCTGAACACACTGTGCACACGTGGACGCTGTGACATCCTTGTGAAGTCCATAACTAAGTTCAGGCACTAATATATTCATTTCTCTTTGACCGAGTCACCCTCCTGTCGCTGTGCGCTTTAAACTCGGCTGCTTTGAAACGCCCTGCAGAAAACAAAGCTCCGTCCTGCTGCAGACAATAAAGCAGCTGGATTTCTGCACATGTGCCTTTGTGTCGGTCTGAGGCCTTGTCATAACTCCATCGCAGGGGCCGAGACATTCATCACGCACACGCACACGAGCGTGCAAAAAACACCCGCACACACGTACATCGAAAGTCACTGACTCGGGGAGATGGATGGCAGCGTCAGCACAAAAGAATATTTGATTTGGTTATAAATACCACAACATGAAAGAGAAGCCCGGCGGGGGGAAGGCCAGAGGGCACAACAACCAGAGGAGGCCGAAACTCCAGCGTCATCACCGTCATACATGGTGTGTCTGAAAATCAGGTTAGCATTAGCGAACTGTGACCGCTCCTTTATGCCTGCTTCTTTTCATTCCGCCTGTATTTGCTTCATGAGGTTAAATATATTTTTCTACAATTTTCAGACGTCCTTGAAACGGGCAGACCACTATTTAACGCTGCAGTAAAGAAGCAGATGTAAACTAGACTATGAATTAAAGCCATGAAAAGCTTCATTGTAAGGCAAACCTAATTGATTAGAACTATGAAGGAACATTTTCTGTGCTTATTTAAGTTTCATAACCATGACTTCAAAACAAAATTCCTTGAAAACCAAGACATATTTGCTCTATCACCAAGCAGAAAACAATATTTATTGTGGCGTATTTGCAGCCCCACTCTTCTCTCAGGAATGTATTTAGCCTATTGTTAGGACTGAGATGTGTGCAAAGTCTGAAGGGGAAAGTCTCTCTGCAGCTAGTGAAGCAGCTTTTGCAGCTCACTAATTAACTAGTGAGACTTTCATCATTATTAGTTCAGTCCAGAGGGACACTAATGCATGAAAAAGCTGACTAGCTGGGACTTTGGTGCTGCTAGTGTGATGCACAGGCTGACTAGAGAGGCTTCTGTTGGAACTAGTTGGACAAAGGTGCCACTAGCTGCTGAACAAGAGTGACTAGTAAGAGTTTTTGTTCAACTAGTACGACAAAATGACAAACTAGTGCAACCAAATATCCAACTAGTGCTGCAAACACCTGACTGGTGGGTGAAAGTGGTGACCAGTATCAGTTATATGGAATAAACGGTTAAACAGTTTCCATCCCAGCAAGCAGGGAACATTCCCACAGCACTGGCTAGTGTTACTTATAAGTTCTAATAATGTTATAAAGAACACATTTTAGTCTAATGTTCAAAGAATGTTTTGCTAATTTTAAACAATGTTCTTATGCGGTTAAAAGTTAAACTAAAAAGTGATGTTTTAACATTAGATGGACGTTTCAGAGGACGTTGTCAGATCAGGATGACAGATGATTCTCAAACAAACATTTAATAAATGTTTTCAAGATGTTATCGAGGCCTCAGAAGACACAAAGAAGAAACTGTGATGTCAACAAAGGTTCTCATGTCAATGTTCTGAGGATGTTTTGGGGACGTTGTTAAAAGATTCACACAATGTTTCATGAAAACAAAGGAAGAATGTTCTTAATGCAACATTTGGAAAACGTTTCAAGAAAAAACATTGCTTTGGAGAACTTTATCCAGCCTTTAGGAGGAACAGTCTGGGAAGTAAACTTTCAAAACATGACAAGAACTTTGAGGAAACGTTTTTAGAACATTATAAATCTAGCAGTGATTACAACTAATCTGAAAACCAATTAAACATGCCAAAGAAGAATGCACTTGCACTTAAAATCGACTTTACAAAGCATATTGATAGATTCTGCATTTGAAAAAGGGAGAGCAAAATGAAAATGAACCTGTTAAACTGAATTCATTAATCACTGGAGTGTTTTGTGTCTTAAACGTTTCTGGATGAGGGGCTCTTTAAACTGCAACACTTTCTCTCTCAGCATGCAGGTTCATTTGTATTTTCTCTGCAGACACGTCCAACACAATGCTCCATCCCTGCATACAGTTACTGATCCTGCGGGTCAGACGTCCCTCCCCCTCCGCAGTGTGAGTGGTTTAAAGTTTCACTCGGCGCGCTCTGATTGGTGCGTAAAGTTTTTCTGAGGAGGAATAACTTCAGAGCTCTGAGGCTGTTTGACGCACAGCAGCTCTGAGAGCGACTTCAGCTGGATTCTCTTGTCGATCGCATCAGGGTGAGAGAAGGCAAAGTGATGGAGGTGATCAAGAGTAGAATATTAGTTGTTTTATAGCGGAACTTTACGCACCAAGGTTTAGGACGTCGCAGCTTTGGAATTATCTTTTTTATATAGATATATACGCATATATATTTTTGAACTCCTCATCCAAAATGTTCGGTTTTGGAGTTTGGATTAACGCAATTTGGATTTTACTTTTTGCAATTTTTCACGTGTCTCTTTCCAACTATTCCGAAGACCAGTGCAGCTGGAGAGGCAGGCAAGTATTTCATATTCCCTCTGTCACGTTGGTGCATCTGGGTTAGTGAGAAGATGATGCAAAATTGGCGCTCAGAGATGCAACAGGTGTTTTATTTTTTTGTTTGTTTGGTTTTTAAAGAGAGAGATAGAGAGATGCTGGCGATGCGTCTTTGAACGCAACATGTTTAGACTTGTCATTAGGGCGCAGTAAAAATGTTTGCGCTGCGCTGCTGCGATTGCGCCTCCGGGCTGTCTGCAGGAGGCATGGAGGGTCCAGACAGACAGGAGACTGGAGGATTAATTCTGCTGCATGGAGAAAATACAGTGTGGATGGAGTTACTGGAGGGTGTTTTGTTTTATTTTAGCTGCATTTAAAAAAAATACAATAAAAAATATTTCAAGTGTCACTTAATTTAACTTTATTTGTTAAAAATGTGGCCCTACAGATGTCATGAGGGGCCCTTAGGGTTGTAGATCTGCCAGTAGGTGGCGCCTTCTCTGAGTTTGTTCATGTGCAGAAACAGTTTTTTTTAAGCTGTCATCTTGTGTTTCCACTTGTTTCTGGTGAAAATGTTGCTCTTAGTTGCAGAAATCACGTGTAAGCCAGCTGGACTGAAGTTTGGGATTTGGCCCAAACTCTCTCTAACTTTTCTTTCCTCTTCTTCTTTCCCTCTCACAGTGGTTTGTCCCAGCAGCAGGGCAGCGTGGAGCAGATCTCCCTCCACTGCTCCGAGGGCACCCTGGACTGGCTGTATCCCAAAGGTGCCCTGCGCCTCACCCTGTCGCCCCGCCTGCCCTCCGTGGCCGTGGGTCCCAGCGGCAGCAGCTCGGGCCTCATCACGGCCTGCGTCAAGCCCTCTGAGCAGTTCCACGGAGCCCAGCTCTACCTGGAGAGAGACGGGGTCCTGGAGCTGCTGGTGGGGGACCGGCTGGAGTCGTCCCCCCCGCCCAGGGTGCGCTGCTTCAGCCGGCTGCCCGGGGAGAGGGTGGCCCTGTTCCTGCAGGCGACGCCTCACCAGGACATCAGCAGGAGGATCGCCTCCTTCCGCTACGAGCTGAGAGGGGATTGGACGGCTCGCCTGTCGCTGGACTCCAACCCCATCAGCAGTGAAGGTGAGTCAGTCAGACGTGATGCTTTCTTCCTAAATCTGCACCAGTTGCTGCATGAAAACCTGAAAGTTCACAACTTCTCTGACACTTTAAACCCAAATGAAACCACTTTTCCTTTCTTCCTGAAAAGTTTGCATCACTTTGACCCACCCCTGATGATATTATACCCCCATAAAACCCTCTCTGCCGATGATTCATAATTCAGAACAGGCCTCTGTGGGCTGCCTGGACTTTCCGCAGCTCATGCAGAGTGCAGAGAGGAGGAAGTGGCCAAACTTTCCCCCAGAGGCGTGCTGGTTGTGGAGTAGCTGTGGAGAGGGGAGGAGGGGCACAAAAGCACAGTATGTGGCGCTTTCTCCAGAGTCCAGAGCCCTTTGAATGGGTGCCGCATGAGTATTCTGGGATTACTGCCGTCTCCTAGGCGACGGGGAGGCCTCTGCCCAGCTGAGATGCTCCCCTCTTTTGTTGAGCTGCCTCTCTGTGGGGAGACTTGTCTGTAGGAGTATACTCCCCCCTCCTCCCCTACATCTTTCTCTCTCTCTCCCACACACACACACACACACACACACTGATTAGGTTTTGGAAGGGGGTTTGCTGTGGACTAAGAGAGGAAGGAATCTCATTTATCAAGAGGTTTTCACTAAGGAGGAGAATGTGTGGGGTGGGCGAGGGGCCTCCGAAGAACCACAAGGAGAACTTTAAAAAATGCCAGGACTTTTTTTTTTTTTTCTCCTCTAGCCACAGCTCAGTCAGTGCAGACAGCCAGTAGAGCTATGCTGGTTTGGGTTTACTCTTTTTTTTTTGCATGCATAAAAAAAGTAAGGTGCACTGCATTTATTTTTAATTTTTTTTAGCTCTATAGAAAATGTGAAGGAAAAAAGGATCAGTATTTTTTCCAAAGTGGGTTTTCTTTAACCATCTTTGAAGTCCTCCCCCCCACTCCTTTTCTTTGGCCCCCGTCTCGGCTTTGATGAGGTGTGACTGTAGACACCCTGGAAGGCTTTAGGAGAGGGGGGGAGTTTCATTTGGCCTTTAAATTGTCTGGCATTGGAGGAGCCTCACACCTTAAAACTCCGCCGGTCCTCCTCCGCCAACTGTAAAAGTAGCAGCTGTCTGTTAGAACGCAGTGGTTGCTCTCTCCTTTGTTGCTCGCTTTTGCACAGAATACAAGGTCTAAACTCACATTCCTGTGCATGCGATCTGGAAATGCCGTCTTTGATTTCCAGTGTATTAGCATATAGGTGTTTTTTCTTTCCTCTCGGCAGATTAGAGTCTTGTGTGAGGTCACCAACTGACTCTCGTCTTTCTTTCTTGTCTTTCCAGATGCCTGCAGACCCTGCAACAACACAGAGATCCTGATGGCTGTTTGCACCAGCGACTTTGGTGAGTTACAAGTTGCAGATTTGAAAAAAAAAACAAAAAATGCAGCAAATCCGAGAGTAAAAATCAAGCGAATCCACCCCCTGAGTTCACCCAAGATTAAGCCCTGCCAACAAATGCCAAGAAGTCCTTGAAGCAAAGCCGTAGAGTTCGGCGATTTCTTGTAAGGATCCTCAAAATCAGTTGTGTCGAATTGGTTTAAAAGCAGGACATCCCTGTGCCCCCAAATCCACCCCTCTGAAAAGTGCAAAGGTTAAAGGTGAAACAGCAGATCTGTGCACCCCCCAACACACACCCACAGAAACCCCCTACTGGAGGCACTGTAGTGGACTAATCCTGACATCAACCCCCTAGAGAAGAGGCAGTGGACTAATCTGCAGGCCTCTGATTGAGCTGTAACAGCACTGAGGAGAAGTTCAGCTGGCAACAAAAGTTAGAAGGATTAGCGAGCAGGCCAGGGTCTCCTTAGGGTAGCTCACAAAGAAGCACATCTAAACCGTGGGTGAAAGAGGGCAATTTGCATTTGCAAGATGACAAAAGTACAGCAAAGTTTTTCTCTCTCGCTTTGACTTGAAGTAAAGGAATGTGTTGCAGAATTGCACTGGAAATGAACCTGAACGTTTGTCTGGTCCACAGTGGTGCGAGGGAACATCCGCTCGGTGGTGGAAGACGAGAACTTGCGGGCGGCGGTGATAAAGGTCAGCGCCACCCGTGTGTTTCGTCAGAAGTACGCCCTGTTCACCGGCAACAGTCGCCTGAGCAGCCGGGGCGAGATCAGGACTCTGCTCCAGTGCGGCGTCAAACCGGGACCCGGGAGCTTCCTCTTCACCGGCCGAGTCCACTTCGGCGAGGCCTGGCTGGGCTGCGCTCCCCGATACAAGGACTTCCAGAGGGCTTACACGATAGCCAAAGCGGCCCAGCAGATACCCTGTGAACTGCCCGTAGACTGAGACAAAAACTCCGCAGCAAGCTTGTCTACCAACCAGAATGGAAGCTGTGCTGAAAGCCGGGCCAAACTCAGCCCTGTTTCAGGAAGAAGCCACGATGTGCACATGTTGGCACCGAACCACCGGCGGATATCGTCTTCCAAAGGGCTGAGGAGCGAAATGGAATTCTTCCAACGCCATTTCAGTGCAATACGCAGTCGCCTGGTCCCGAAAGACCCGACGGAGTCCTGACATGAGGGGACGGTTTTACAAACAGAGACGCCACAAAGCTGGTAAAATTATCGAAAAGCTTTCCATTGGGGACACATTGAGTCAAGCCATTAATTCAGGCCAACTGAGAGTCATCGAATTGAAACTCAGGAAAATTTATTAAAAGTTCTATAGAAAGCTGGTTATCCTGTTGAGGATGCACTCAAGGCAGGTGTTGCTGTGGTCTAAGATTTCAAAAATATCTACCTTTTCTTCCACAGTGTTCAGATAACATCCGGCCATTGGACGGTGATGTTCAGCTGACTTCGCCTTCAGTGTTACTAACATCAAGGAGATTATATAAAATCCTCATACAAGGAAACATTTAGAAACTATTTGCACTGATAAAGGTAAAGGGATTGATCTGGAAAAAGTGTGATGCTGCAAGCACTGAAAACCAAATAAAAAGCAACTATATGTAGCATTAGTGGAGCGACTGAGAATTTAATATATGTACAGACGATGTGAGCACATACAGTAGGAACACGAAGCTGAGGCCACCTGAGCAGGTTTCACAGCTCGATGCGGTGCTGAGAGCACTTTCATATTCTAGCCACTCGGAGATTTCACTTGTGTAAGGACATACAGGCCTTTTGAAGCACTGTATTGAGATAATGAGAGAATTTTTTTTGTAAGATAAAATATGTTTAATTTCTGTAGCATGAAATATTTCTGCAAAATTCTAACTAATTCGAGTAAATTTAAATAAAAAAGAGAATATTTAAAAGTGAGTTCAGATGCAGGAGTCTTGCCAAAGCAGTTATTAAGCTGATTGTTGTTAAATCTGCGCTTTCTTTTTTTGTGATATATTGATGAGAAATAAAAGAAGCTATTCAACTGTATATAATCAGCAATGTTCAGAAGACAACAGCTGTTCATAACTGAAGTCCAGTGGGCTTATATCATGAAGGTAGAAAACACAAATACAGGTTTTTTGGTGGAAAAACATCCACTCGGACAAGGCTAGCTCAAGAGAAAACACAAAATATGCATTTAATGTATCTGCTCTGTAAAGTGATCATATCTAATGTGCACTATATCAGCAAGGAGAAGGGGTTCATACCAAATTACCACGATGTGCTGAATATGTCTTAAACACGTACACTGCCATTTTGCTGTTTGTTTTGTGAATTTATGTTAATATCAATGTGAATGTAAATATGTGAATAAGACATTCTAGAAAGAAAAGAATGAAAAAAAATACTTGGTGTCAGTATTGTGGATTATTTTTATGTTTGTCTGTTATTAAAATATTCTGTAAAAGAAAAAAAAAAAAACAGTTTCTTGATGTATTTATTTCCTTCTTTTTTTAATCATCAAACAGATTCTTTAAGGCTTTCTAACTCCACAAAGCAGCGTCATGCTCCATAATCCTCCTCTCTAATGCATCAGCTCTGTTTTCCTACATTACCAAAGGGCTTCTTCCTTGGTTAACTTTTCTCAGACATAAGTCACTTCAAGTGCTAATGAATCAGATTCCTCAAAGCGCAGAACAAATGCTATGCCTGAGAGAGCGAGGGGGCCTAAAAGCAGGAGAGATTTAAGGACTGTTTTAGGACCCGGAGGGCGTTCGGGACAGGGAAGGAGGTAGAAAACAGCAGTTGGAATTCTGTTGTCCTCGGCCTCCCATTTTCAGGATTCAGGAAGCAATAAATTGCCATTAAGGGAGCGGCGTGGCAGACTGGACTGAGCCGAGGTGCCACACAGTCGCTCGCTTTATCCTGACCACGTGTGCGCAAGGACACAATCAAACCCAGGTCTTTTCCTGCCCTGCAGCGTTCGACCTTGATTCAGCCCATGGCATCATAGTTATTCTCTTTACGTGAGGTGAATTCAACCACAACAGGAAAGACATCAACGTTAAGACAGGCGTTTAACAACTATAGAGTACTCCATGACAACACCTCGAGCAATCGAGACAACAAAATGCATCATATCGTCTAGATTTGTTTGACAGAGCTAAAAAAAAAGAAGGCAAATCTGAAGAGGAAAGTGTTTTCGTCTTCCGGTTCTGTGTCACAATTTCACACTGTCTAAACAAATCCTGATCAGGATCTAACAGTAAATGAGACTACGTACCGTCCTTCACCTCAGACAGGTGAGCCCCGACACTCAGAGTCACAGTTCATCAGCTGCAGTTCATTTCTGCAAATAGTTCCTCCTCAGGTTTGAGCTCCACAATAGCTGTCTGGATATTTTGATCTCACTATAAAAGTTTGATTTGTTTAGTGAAGTCGAGGTTTTCTGTCAAATCAAGTCTTTTATTTCTCTGATTTTTCAGCTTCTCAGTCACACAGCAGAACATTATTGTGATGTCTGCCATAATTACTTTGTATAAAACATAATCCTTCTAATATTTAAATTAAAACCCAAATTAGGCCAATGGTAGCCAATGAACATTTAATTGTTTTGATGTAAACTGGTGCAGTTATATAACCATCATTAGGCTATGGAGAGAATTTTCAGTGTGTTTGTCGGTGACATGGAGAGCAGATTTGGTCTGATTATTATTACTTGTTTATGGAGGACGTGGTGAATCTCTAATCTGACTGCCACAATCCCAGAATTACCATGACACCAAATGATCTTGACACATTTGAGAAAAGAAAAACCAGATAAGATTCAATGACCTGCAGTCCACTTGTAGATTTATTGTACAAAACACAGAGCAGCCTGCAAAAAACTGAGCTGGTCTCCAAACCGACTGAACTCAAACAAGATGCTTTAATCTGCCCAACGTGCGTCATAGATCTCCCCAAAGTGTGATCATCACCTGATTGTCACCTCCTGTCATGAGCTGCATCGTCACATTGTGTCATCTTCACAGGCTTTTGTTTCCATTAAATTCCTGTACAGTGTTTGTTTCTGGTAAATCTTGTGATCTGAATGCTCCTGGAGGACTCACAGAACGTCCTTATCAGAGCTTCTTTTAAGACTTAGATACAGTTTATCAGCATGGTTTTCACTCTCATTGATAAATACCATCAATTTATTACAACTTCTGTGATTGTATACTTCAGTATATCTGTGAAAATGGCCTGCATGGACGGACACTTGAATATAATGTCTGGGTGAACTTTTTCTCCTCACTAGAACCTGTATCTCTTCTGGACTACTTACAGAGTTGCTGATCCAAATGACCATTAAATAAAGTTATGATAAAAGATCCAATTGAGTTCACAAGGGTTTCTAGGCTGGGATATGTTTCAAGATCCCAACAAAATGTCTGTTGTATGTTTAATATACCACAGAGGAGTCTCCGCGTTGTTGCTATTGACCAATGACATCGCTAGAAATACAAACAATCTTCTTGAGTTTCTTCCTGTCAGCTACAACAGTTAAAAGTACAGTCACAAAAGCAGAACGTCAGAAAAACTCTCCACAAATGAGCAGCACAGCAAATGTGTTACCTGCCACGGCTGATATTTTCTGCCACCGGGAGCTTCATGGTAGATAAAGTACAGATGTGCCGACATCACTGAACCTCTGTGATAAATTCACCACCTGTTTCTGCTCCTTGCAAAATTTCTGCATAAACACGAACAGCGCACACCTCAGTAAAAAAATGTCAGATTTACTGCGTGCCGTAAATCCGTTTGAAAAAGAGCAGCTGGGGGGAGGGTGGAGGGGACCAGCACGGTGTTTAGGTTAAATGGAAACGAATGACAAAAGCTCGACATGCTGCCCACCGCTCTGCCACTGCATCAGGAGCTTCATGTGAGGGAACCTCCAACCTCCCTGGCCATTTACTGCCTCAGTGCCCCCTTTAAAACATCCTGTGGCTGTGGGGGCCCCGAGCTGCACACACACACACACATATATATATATATGTATACACTCCTCTGCCACCTCCCTTCCAGTCCATCTGAGGTTACTGCTACAGGCCTGATAAGCCAAAACAAAGCGCACTCAAATTATCCTCCCTCACCTAATACTTCATGTGACATTTCGACAAAGCCCAACTTCCTGCATTGTTGTCGCTTCTTTGTGACCCCAGCTTGAACCCCTAAATAGGGAGCATTAATGTCAGTGCAGCCGCAATAACACAGCGGCTTCTGAATACCACAAGCTGAAATGCATGCAGCTCCGCGCACAATCGAAATAACACTTAGTGCACAGGGAAAGGATTTTCTGCAATCAAATCTGAAACCCTAAAGACCTGAATGAGTAATTTTGCATTTGTTCTGCAGTGACTGTGCAGAGTGTTGCAGACCCACAATAAACCCTCCTCCCCCATCCTCTCTTTATTCTGTCCTCGCTGCGGCGGCCGAGGCGAAGTTCGGACAGGGCAAAGCAGGAAGCACTCAGGAAAGGAGAATCCAAAGAGGCTGGAGAGAGAGTTGTTGGGTGTGGGCTTGCATCAGCCCCTGGGGAAGTTGGAGGGAAGTGGCCGGAGACAAAAGCTCCAGAGATGAGAGTGCAGACAGGGGAAAGGTGCGCCTGGACACAGTACAGTACAACACCCCACCCAGCGCTCGGGTCCTGTGTTTCCAACAGAAACTCTTCCTGTTATCCAGCCACATAACGGCTCATAAATCAGAGGTTCATTTACTGAACGTATTCATGTCAGACTTATAAACTGGCTGATCTCTCTATGTTGCAGTGCATAAGGGTTTTGATGATCCCACTATGAGGTGCATTTTACAATCTCACTTCTTTCAACAGTATTATTTATATTACAACATCACCAGAGTCTCCTAAAATGGTGCAAGAACTGTGTTTAGGTAACATTTTTCAGTTCGTTACACTTCAACTCCACTACCATGACAGACAAATATGATCATTCTTTCTACTACATTTATGACAACTGCATTACCAGTTGTGTTTAGAGAGAAAACATAATCAATCAATAAATGATGATGTATTATTGTTGGAGAGTCCGGCAATGATGCAATACAACCAGTTCAAAGTCCCTCTCCGGTCATTGAATAAACCTCTGAAAATTCATTTCATTTTTACATTTGTCTTGTTTATGAAAAGAATTCCTTCCAACCTCAAAATGTCTTGCATGTAACTCCACATCGTTGCCTCCTTTAAAATGTGCAGATCATAGACTGTATATATTCTTATACAGTCTATGATGCAGATCTATGAAGTGTCTGCCTTTCTCTCCACCCCAGTACCGCTCTATGCTCTACTCAAACACAAAACCACTCCATGCTACACGATGGCAAGTTGTAAAAGTGGAGTAATTCAGTCATATGTGTTCAAACCGGAAACCAGTTCTGAAAAAGAATAATGATACAGAACTCGTCACCCGACAAAATGACAGGACTGGTTTCTTCGGTTTGTTTTGTATGAAACCCCAGAAGTCTGCAGTTTCAAAGTGGAAACGATAATCCATGTGATCGACCGTTTATTTTGCATCTCCAAGCATATAAAAAACATCATATGGGCACATTGATAAGGTGAAGTCTTTAAGATTTCACAAACAAACTCCTGTGGCGTCAATAAAAATCAGGTTTACCGTCACCAGGGGCAACATAAAGTGATTCATACATTAACGGATCAATAATTATAATCCACCAACATAATGTACTTCCTTCTGAAACGGGCAATTCTGCAAAATAAATACTATTATTTACAGTTTTTTAGGTACATTTTAATGCTTAATAAAGAGCTTCTACATTCTGGTATTGTTGCTTTTACTGAAGTACAAGATCTGAGTACTTCCACTGGTCTGCTAACCCTTTTTAATGTTAAAATTCTA